ATGAAATGATGCAAAATTGTTTGACTAAACTACATAAGTACTTAAATGCTAAATTATTTAACTTAGATTAATAAAATTTACAAAAAAAAAACCAAAAACATAAGAAACCCAAGATTTTGTAAAATAGTGACATAAACTTTATTTACTGTGTGTCTGCAGGTGCTGCAGTCACAGTATGTGTAAACTAAAGCATATTTACATTTTAACATCATCTCTAACCCTGACAATCTGAGCCGTCCTGTCAGTTTGTGGTCTTGAAGTGCTCTCTTCAGAGTTTTAATGAGCAACAAAACCCTCTATTCTGATCAGACCTTCTCAGTCTGTGTCACTAGGAGGTCTATGTGAAGAAAAAAACCAGGAAGAGATAAAAGAGAACCAGTTCTACGGAGCCCGCAAAGCGACATGGGAGATTATATTTTCTTTTGCGTTCCCACACAATAKTATTGCGTTACCTTGCATTACTTTTGCGTTACCTCGCAATACCTTTTGCGTTCCCTCGCAAAAGTAGTTTATCACTGTTGTGCCTGCTGGTTTATTAGCAAACTCACATGTTCACCATTAGCGAGTTAGCCTACTGCTTTAATTCAGCTTCAGAATATATCACACAGCCACGCATGGAAGTACAGTATGTCACATGCCGATATTTTAACACAGTGCAGCCACGCAACATCAATGTCAATTTCACAAACTTGTGGCGACACATCCTGTTTTGGTAACCGGATATTTCAAAAATAAAAGTCTGATTTAATTCAGTTCATGTACAAAACAATCTTTTGCATGGGAACGCAAAACAATATTGTGTGGGAATGCAAAAGTATTGCGAGGGAACGCAAAGGTATTGCATGGGAACGCAAAAGGAAAAAAAAATCCCCCGTGTCCCCTCGCGGGCTCCGTAAGTTCCACTGTTATCATTTCGTTCATTGACAAATAAAATTAGCTACAATGATAAAATATTATATATTATAATAATCAGTGTTAAATAATCAAAACTATTGCTCAGTCTTACTTTTTAAAAGGTAATCCCACGTTTCAAAACTTCGTAGATTAATGCACCAAATAAGGGCAGAGTCTCTTGCTCCAGTGCTGCCTGAAGAGAAGAAACCCCCATCCAATATGGCGGCGCTGCGCGGTGCGATTCTTCACGCCATGAGCTGTCTAGTATTTACATGGCTATGCTCGCGCACCCGCCTACGTCACCAAACAGGAAGTGTGGAGCGGAGTGTGTAGAATCAAAACAGAGCGACCGACTGCMGCTTTTTCTGACAGCTCCGCTCGTGGCGCCGTGTTTTACTCTTGTTTCTGCGGACAGCGGACATGTCGCGGAAAGCCAAAGAAGAAYATCATCGGTTCTTTACGGTGACCGAGCCGCGGAAACACGAGAAGGGACACACCGAATACAAAGTGTCCGCTCGGGTTAGTTTCAACTCTTTGTCGCTCTCAGATCTTATTATGTCACTCACAGTACTTCTCGTGTTATTATAGTAAACACAGCTGTAATTTATACGTTTTAAAAGTAATTTAGTGTTCGACTAAAAGGCACTGTGGTCAAAAGGAAAGCTTGTCCAAATGTTTAAATAGATAAACAAAAACTATTTTATTAGAGGCAGTGAAACAAAGAGGACTCGTGATTTTCTCCATCTAGATCCAGATCCCTCATGACCACTTCAGAGCCCTGCGGTGCTGACAGACAGGCCCTGAAAGGATTTATTTGTTTTCATGTTTACAAGTACTGTGACACCATTTAAAGTTCATCTCCTCAAAAAGCTGCTCTTGTTCTTCGCAGTTCGTGTCCAAGCGTCACCCGGAGGAYGTGAAGGAGGTGGTGGTGTGGAAGAGGTTCACGGAGCTGAAGAAGCTCCACGGAGAGCTGGCCTACACGCACAGGAACCTGTTCAGAAGGCTGGAGGAGTTCCCACCTTTTCCGCGGGCGCAGGTTTTTGGTCCGTCGGGTTTGGGACGGACTCCCGCAGACTCACTCAGACTCTTCGGTTTTTTTTTGTGACATCGTGTTTCTTTGTGTTTGTTCCAGGGAGGTTCGAAGAAGCTGTGATTGAGGAGAGGAGGAAGGCAGCGGAAAACATGTTGCTGTTCACCACCACCATACCTGCGCTGTACAACAGCCCGCAGCTCAAGGACTTCTTCAGGGTGAGGACATGAAACACAAAAAAACTGCCTTCACTTCAGTTCATCTACCCTCAACGTTCCTGCTCCTCCCTCCAGGGCGGTGAAGTCACAAGACCTCTGGATCCCTCCCCCTTGGCCTCGGCCGGACCCCTGCCTCCCCCGCTCATCCCCCTGCCCGAGCGGAGGGCCTCGGACTGCGAGCCCGCCGAAGAGGAGGAGGGCAGGGAGGCTCCCACTTTACCCCAAGACCTGGGCACCAACATCAGCTTGGAGGTCGGGGAGCCAGAGGTGGCGGCTGAGGCCTACAGCGAGATGGGAGGATCTCCTCCAGAGGAGGAGGATGTTAGCGATGCAGAACTGGATGAACAAGGTGTGAACGTCAGTTTTTTTTTTTWAAATCCTTGTTGCGTATTTTTACTTTTTTCTTTTTTTTTTTTTACAGCTTTAGCCTCATCGCCTGAACAATCCCCAGTGAGACGCCACGAGTCCAAAGAGACCCAGGAGGAGTTTGATTCTCTGTTTGACTCCATAGCCGAGGAGCGAGTCCCGTCCCCAAAGGAAGAGGGACCCCCTCCACTATCGGAGATCGACTTGGCGGTTTTTGATCCCTGCTTTAAACAAGGTGATGCAAATCTAAACCTGATAAATACACAATATTAAAGGGATCCCTGCTTAGTTGTAACATTAGACTTTATTTGATAAACATATGTTTTAACTGTAAAATAAAGTCTGTAAAAATACTGTAGGCT